GTGTGTGTGTGTGTGTGTGTGTGTGTGTGTTTACTTGGCTACATCTGTCTTAACACAGGCATGATGTGGGTCAGGCCTTCTGTTTGCTGCTCATTCTGAGAAGCACAGGGTTGTTCAAAGGCATTCTTTTCATTACTAAAGGTCTTGACGCTCACCTTACTTCATCAGGAAGGAGGGCAAAAAGCTGTGATTTCTTGAGGTAAGCCCCCACAAAAAACAGAGGTAAACGCACTTAACTTTGTAACATTTAAGCTTTTTAGGAACAAAAAAAATTGTGATTTGTGAGTTAATTTTGGTGGGGTTTAGTGGTTAAAAATGAGAGGAACAAAGCACAAAACATATCAGTTTTTCTACTTAATGCATTTAGCACCTCTGTTTTACTCATCACAAAATTCAGCTTTAAAAAACTATTTATTTAAACTGCCATTTAAAACATTTTCTTTAGCTCTAATGAAGTTTTGAATTTTCTGAATGGTAACTATTTTCTAAAATGTTACAAATGTTGAAGAAACAATGTACATTCACAAAGTACAAGAGCTACAGGTGCAACAGGAAGTTGTTTAATCCTCCCTTTATTGAACTTAAGTGCAAAAAGAGCTGCATGCTGTTGCCACTGGTAGCAAACAGAAATAACAGTAGCTATAAGTCTCTCCAGCTTGTATTCTTTGACTATGGAAATGTTTAAAACTGGAATTACAGTAAAAGATTCTAAACCGCAAGTTATGTTTTATTGTTCTGTAAAAACAATTTTTTCCAAGTATATTTATGATAACAGTTGTATTTGTGTGTGTGTGTTTCCACTGGTGCCAACCTTGCCATCTGATGCTGTGTTAATCCTGTAATGGTACACTCTCCCCTCATAACGCAGAGAAATGGACCTCTGTCCTGGGCTGCTCTCGCTCTCTCGGACCAGGAAGCTTCCGTTGATGCCGGAGCTGAGCAGGTACTCTGCGGCGTTGCGCGACACGGGCCCGTGGTACCAGCTGTGCTTCTCCAGGCTGTTGACTGGAGTGATGTAGTTGGACGGCACCCATCCCTGTCCATTCTTGGTTTGCGCCTCACACCACTCACCATTGTGGTTGTAACCCAGAACGCGCAACTTCTCTCCTAATCAACCACAAAAAAATAGTAATAAATCAACTCAATGTAGAACACAGAAATTGTAATGATTAGGTAAACTCAAGTAAATCAGATTGCATCTTCCATGATATCTTAAATACAACAAAACTAATAAAAATGTAAGTATTTGGCTGTTTAAATCCTAAAATAAACTTTTTTTTTATGTGTAACATGTCAGAGTAGACCAAAAAGCTGCATTACGCCAGACATTTTTTTGTTTATTCTAGTAGCGGTGTTCCCTCCTTCCTTCCTTTGTCTGTCTGATCCATCCGCAGTATTGTTTTACAGTTGGTTCAGTGGAAAAAGACCCGTTGGTTAAAACATTGTCAGGAAGTTAGAAGCTGATGGGAATAAAAACAAAGAAGCAAAACAAACAAGGAGATTCCCGGTTCCGACCATAACCCCTTTAGAGGCATTTGTTATCAATGAGTCGCTCACCATTTCTGTCACTTCCAAACCAAAGACATTAAGATGATTATCTGACATACTGGAAACCCCCACCACCAAAACGTCTTCAAGGGACTTCTGACTAGAACTGGCAGGAAATAGTTTGTGGACAGGAGTTTTAAGAAACTTTAGTGCATGTCCTTTTAGTTTTCTTGTTTTCCTTTTATGCTTTTTAATGTTTAATGTATAACTTAACGATCAATTTTGTCCTTTAAATCACCCTTAAATAAACAAATAAAACTATATATAATGAAAATGTTTACCTTTAGTAATGCTTAGTGTGTTGTCACCGCTTGCCACAAAATCATAGAGCGCAACAAACAGGTTGGGGTCATTCTCACTGGGTCCCGCTAACAGGTTCTCCTTGGAGTTCCAGCGTGCTGCTTCTGACAGACCCTGACCCTCAAAGTCTGGTCTTTGGAGAGCTTCTGGGAAAAACACAAAGACAAGTCAGCCAGAAGACTTACAATTGCATCAAAGACACAATAAATTCCTTGCTGAGGAGAGACTGCAAAACAAAAAACTTTGTTCACAACTTCACAAAAATTTGATCTCCTCGTGCATGTGTTCAATTTTTACTTTTTTTTTTTTTTTTACATCTTTTCAACATGTTCTCGCAAGCAAAGCATCGCCTGTGGTCCCACAGTGGGGTTGAAGTAATAATCCTAATCATGCAGCCTGAACTGCTCCTCTCATTTCTACAGCTTCTCATTTCCTGGATTATCTTTACTAAGTAATAATTTTCTTCAATACCTAAATGTAGACAACTGAGCCACATCAAGGCAGGAGAATCTGACTCAACAAGAAACTTCAGAGTACCTGTAAAACTGATGTGCAGGAACCTTACAGTAAATTTAGCTCCTTTAAATTACAGAATTGAAAATTACGGCAATTTCACAGTCATAAAACTGAGGGATAAATCAAATTATGTGAGAAAATAAGGAAGGAAAAACGATTCAGGTTTTATAGGCTGCTGTTGGGCCCAAATATGAGCCTGCTAGTGTGATTTCCCCAGCTGTCATCTCACATTTCATACTCAAATATTTTGAAGCAGCTTGAGTTGTTTTTCCCCCCATGTACAATTACACAAATTATTTCAAATTAAGCTGGTAATTGTCAGATAATCAGGTTCATTTGAGCCTCGTTGACTTTAAAAACTGACCCATGACTGTTTTCCCCTCACTTTCAACCACTGTCAAACAACTTTTTGAATCTAGTTTTGTAATTTCTCACTTTGTCTCCACTCTTCATGAAAATCTACTTTGCACCAGCAGTGTCTTTAAATATTCACACTTTTAAGAAGCAAGTAGTAAAATGATTACAAACTCGGCACAAAAAGTAAGGAAATTTGTGTTTGGAAGATTATTTCTTTGTTGTAACAATGCTTCTTGGCTGTTCATTCCCTTTTAAGTGGTGCCACATTTGTAAGGAACATGCATTTGTGGGATGAGCAGTAGAGCTGAGTATGTGGGCTGCACACATGAAAAATTCACCAGATCTTCTCCGCCAAACAGCTAATCTTGCTGCTGCTACTGACTCTTGTTTTGAGCTTCCTTACGTTTTGTGCTAAGTATATAAAACAACTAACAAGAACTTTTAAATATATTTATTTAGTCATTTATAAATTATTCTAAACTACAACAATTTATCTAACACCGATGGAGTCTTTCCAATATTAGCATTTTACAGAACTAATTTAAAGGCAAACATGTCAAAATGTAGTGACGTACGTGCCACCAAATGTAAGAAATCACTCGGTTATGATGATTCAACTAGGACAAAACACAATAAGATGGGCGTACTCAGTGACTCGTGTGATCTAACAATAAATGCGATCAATTATTTACAGAATCAAAACAAATCACTAATATACAGATTATTGTGAGATTAAATTTCCTATAAAAAGTTTAACAACAAACTTTGAGGTCCAGATGTTAATAAAACATTTGTTTGTGGCACTTTTTCTTAAGTTTGGCAGGGCATAGGTTTAAGAGGAAAGAAAGGTGGAGGGAGAGGTAAAAGGGTAAAAACAACTAAAGCTGATAATGTGTTTGCTTACAATGCCTACCAGTAAGTGAAGAGACTATTTTAATATCTGGTGCCACATTGACCCTGAATCTTTTTATCCCAAACTTTTTATTAACAAACTTGGTGCATGATGAAAATTCTAAAGTATGCTTTAATAGCTAGCTGAACAAGGGAACAAAAGATGATTTCACTCAGAGCACCAAATCAGTTTGTTCTGCTTTGTATCCATGGTCGTATGTTGCAAAACTGGAGTTTTCACCCAGAGATTAGATTATCTTTATTCATTATGAAATATCAATAGATTTCAAGATGAAAAGCTGTAAAAATGTCATACACAAGCTAGCTCAAGAATGTGCAAAAATATTTTTTCATACATATGATGCAAGACTTATTATTTGCCAAAAAGCAGTTGGTGGGTAAACAAGTCCACAGGTTTGATGATTTAGCAGACTTGAATTTGGTTACCGTTTTTTTTATTTTTATTATTACATAAGTTGATACTACCCCTGAAAAATTATTGTTTTGACAAGAACTGAAAAGAACAATGTGTACTACAATAAACAGAGCCGCGGAAAGAGAGATTTAGAATACTGCAAAGACAAAACGCTGTGGAAAAACTAAACCGAAAAGAGTCGTCATATGCTCATTCTCTGGCATGAATATTTTTTTGGAATGTTGTTAAATATAATGCTCTACACAACTAAGGAAATGGTCAAAGCAACCTCAAGATTTAAGGTCAAATGTGAGCTACAGACTGAAAGGCTTTGAAGTCACAGATGAAGAAGACTTGCCTTTAAAAGGTAAGCCAAAATTGCAACATACAGCACTAAAACTGTATTTTTCTGTGAAAGTAAACAGACACACAGCTTGTCACAGACATTTATGTTGCTCACACACATAATAAGACAATCAGAGCCTATTGTGGTGCTTGTTTCAGATTAACCTCCCTTTTTGCCTTTAAGGACACATCTGATTTAGTTTGAGTGAAAAGATGCAGTTTTTATTAGAAACACAAACTTGTTGCACTTTGGAGCAACAATGTGCAACAGAATTTACAGAATTTTAAACATTTATGTTTCTGTTTCAAACTGCAACTACGAGGCACTATTTTTAATAGAAAATTCAAGATTTATCCAATATGAAATCACACCATTTCAAGTCCAACACTAAGGGATATTATGACAATAAGCCAAAGACTTCAGTTTCAGTTTATCCCTTGGTAACACTAACAAGAGTGGTGTGTTCCTCCAAAGAATATTGTAGAATGAAAACAGATGAGGCCAGAAATCAAGCCAGGTAGAAAAGAGGCAGCAGTAAAATAAAATAGATTAGAGATGATATTACGCAAAGTTTCGCCAAGTCATAAAGTGTGGGCAACACATTTGAATGGGCACTGCCACACACATTCACGTTAACGGCCCCAAATACCGCACACAGCCCGTTTATGAGAAGGTGACGGCACACTGACACACAGCCCAAGAAAACACATGCTTAAGAGTGAGAAAGGAAAAGCGAAATCATAAAAAAACCCACAAAAGTACAAGAGAAAGGAACAAAAAAAGAACAAGACTCTTCAACAGACTGGAGCTGAAAGTGGGAAAAATTACAGCATGCCTTGGCTTCATTTCTGATATAACATTCTAAATAATTAATTCTGTGCAGAGCTTTCAAAGACACTTAATTTTGAGAGTCGCACGCTGATGCAAGAGAAAAATATGTCTTCTAAATGCACTGTGGTCAAAGTTATATTAACTCAGCATATGTAGTTATGTGTTTCTGTGTGGTCTAATTCCATGAAGTGAGCCAAAATCCCAACATATCTGTGTCGGCTGAGGGCACATATTTTTCTTGTGTCACCTGTCATCATCTTAGAGGGAGCTGGTAGAAAAAAAGGGGGGACAGGACTGAGATCATATATTTCTGATTTAGTTAGATTAGGGGTCCCTCTGCAGTGGATCTCTGGAGCCTTGACCAGAACCAACACGGAAATGAATATTTAAACTCATGACCACAATAGGCAAACAGAAATATATTGCAAGTCATTTTGATACCAATATTAAGAAATACCAGCCTGTCTGTATGAGAGGACATGTACTGTATTACAGTCACAATTAAAAATCCAACAAACTGGCCTAATTTTTCCTTTTCACTCTAGCTATTGGCTTTATTATTTCCAGGTGGGATACTCATGTTAGCTTTCCACATATACAGTGGGTAAAATAAGTATTGAACACGTCACCATTTTACTCAGTAAATATATTACTAGAGCTGCTAATAACATGAAATTTTCACCAGATGTYGGTAACAACCCAAGTGATCCATACATACAAAGAAATCAAACCATAAATGTCCAGAAATGAAGTTATTTGTAATAATG